CTCCTCAGTTAGAGGTCCTTTGTTTAACCCTTTTACTAACGATATTTTGTTAGGGTTAGAGTTAATATTCCTTGGTGTAAGTCTCTAGTTATATCTTTACCTCCTCAGTTAGAGGTCCTTTGTTTAACCCTTTTACTAACGATATTTTGTTAGGGTTAGAGTTAATATTCCTTGGTGTAAGTCTCTAGTTATATCTTTACCTCCTCAGTTAGAGGTCCTTTGTTTCACCCTTTTACTAACGATGTTTTGTTAGGGTTAGAGTTAATATTCCTTGGTGTAAGTCTCTAGTTATATCTTTACCTCCTCAGTTAGAGGTCCTTTGTTTAACCCTTTTACTAACGATCTTTGGTTAGGGTTAGAGTTAATATTCCTTGGTGTAAGTCTCTAGTTATTTCTTTACCTCATCAGTTAGAGGTCCTTTGTTCAATTATTCCAGTATACGTCTTTTCTTCAGTCCTTTAATCATTGTTTCCTTTTTACAATTTTAGATTCAAGCATTTGGTTTAAATCTTTAATTAAAATTACTTTTTTTTATCTCTTTTGTTAAATATATTTGTTTAACTCTTCAGAAAGAAGCCTATTGTTTAACACTAGCACGTAACCAGTTTTAACTCAGCTAGAAAACCTGAAAACTGCTATTTAACCTTTTGTTCAACTTTTTAAAGTAGTTATCTTGTATTTAACGAATTTTTGTTTAATTCCTTAAGTAAACACCTTTTACTAACTTTTCTATAATTGTTGTTTAACGGTTTAGTTAGTGGTTTAATATTTCACTCTAGTTGAAAGCTTTTCGTTTAACTCTTTCGATAAAACCTTTTGTTTAACTTCATAGTTCGCAATATTTTGTTTAACTATAAATTCGAAGTTTTTATTTAACTCGTAATCAATAACTTTTGAATCAAAGCAAGATACCTACGTAGATATATAATAGATATAGGTAATTTAATATCCTGGAGTATGCAATACCATGAGACAAATACTTAAAATTATTAGAATATTGTTATCGATATTTTTGAACGCAATCCCAATGATATCTGACAAGGTAGTCCACATTAGGAGATTTAAATTAGTTCTAAAACCATATACTGGGCTTTAAAATGTAAAAAAATTATACACATAATGAAATCGCATATACAATAAAAATGGAAAATAATAATAATATATATATATTAAACTATTTGTTAACAGTCCTTGATTTACTACTTTACTGTCAGTCTTTTGTTTAACTCTTTAATTAGCATTCATTTTTACCCTTCAATTACCCACGTTTTATTTAGCTCTTTAATTAGCACCCAGTTTTACTCTTCAGTTATTCGTGTTTTAGTTGACTCTTTAATTAGCACCCATTTTTACACTTTAATTACTCACGTTTTATTCAACTCTTTAATTAGCACCCATATTTACTCTTTAATTACCCACGTATTATTTAGCTCTTTAATTAGCACCAATTTTACTCTTTTTTTGCCCGTGTTTCATTTGATTTTTTAACTAGCTATCTTTTGTTTAAAACATTTAAGCCTTTTGATTGATTCTTGATAAAATTCTTTGTTTAAAATTTCCAGTCAACATCTTTTTTGGTCTTTGATTACCTGCAGTTTATTAAACCTTCACTTATAGATGTTTTTGATTTTCAATTAGCAGTCTCTCGGGTAACTAGCTATATATCATTTGTCTTGCATAATGTTTTTTAAATACTTCGGAGCTTGAATAATTCATTCTTTAATGAGCATTTGAAAATAAAAATCTATTGCAACGCTCAAACGATCTTAATTATAAGTGTTCTATACTTTGAAATGATATACATGATCAGTGATTTCGTTTCTATGTTAAACATAATTTTACTTAAAGCACTACCAGCGTTATATTAACAACATGGAGGACATAAACTTCGAATTTGTTTAAAATAAGAAACATATAAATAAACTAAATTTCATCACGTTGATCTGGCATCTTTACTGCATAATGAACATACATTAGGCCAACCTGGTGAAAAGTATTTGTATTTGTATATTTCTTACTTCCAATAAACTCGAAGTTTATGTCCTCTAAGTTGTTAATTTAATAGTTAGTTAGTTCATTTAAATATACTTATGAAACTGGCTGGTCTTCTACATTATAATGTAAATAAACATAACCTGTAAAAGACTACTGAACTTTTACCCTGTTTTACGCTATTTCAACGTCTGGTTTACCTTCAAGTTAAATCGACGTGTTTTTTTTTCCCCCTCTTTATAAATCTTAAGATTTTCGGTTTAATGTTTATAAATTACAAAATTCTCTCTCTGTTAAATTTTGATCTGGATCATGTGAAACAAACGATCTAATGTAGAATTTGTGTACCGGGTATTGAAACAAACTATCTAATGTAGAATTTGTGTACCGGGTATTGAAACAAACTATCTAATGTAAAATTTGTGTACCGGGTTTCCCTAAAGGCAGCCATACTGTCTTCAGTATAAGTTATCGAGTGAAATGAATAGTTATACCGTTTGCGTTTAATAAAGTTATGTTAGGTCGAGTAACTGTAGGCTTAGTAAGTTTAACATCCTGGCCTATCTTCATGGTAACTCAAGTTTAGTTCCCTATGAGCCTAACTTATAACTCACAAGATATTTGAATTATCTGTACCCGCCTCATAAACGAGTGTGTAATCATCATACTAAACTAAATGATTTCTTTAAGAACAAATACAAATTTATATTTTGATTCAAAAACAGATGGATTTTTACATAATGTTTTTTCTTTACATATTAAAGTATGAACATACTCTATGCTACGCTAATTACTAGAATATTAAAACACGATAATACCGTTTATTTGTGAAAAAAAACGTCCTAGAATTATATATTGTACAAATTCATATCAGGTATTTTAAAGAATTATTATATTTGATATATTTTTACGAAAAGCTAAATCTTAAAACAAACGTACTATACCAAACACACTATATTGGCAACAATTTTTGACGAATGTTACAAGCTCGATAGTCGTGTAATTATACATACGTGTTATAAATGTTTTTACACACATTGTATAATTCGTAACATATATTGTTTACAGTATTTGGTCGTGTATTGTTGTAAAAATGCAGTTTAAAGTTCAAAGTTTGGTTACTATCTTAAAAGTTACCTTTATATTTGGAATATGTTTTGCTTTACAGTACCAGAGGTTTCCTCTTGTAAAAGATACGACAAAGTTATAATAGAACTATTTTAAATCATGTGTATTTTAGCCTATTCATTTTACAGTTCGTTGTTTCACCCAGTATGAATGACAATAATAGTTTATTTGCAATACTCGACGCTCTTATTTTTCAGTTATATATATATATAAACATACGACAGACGACGGTTTTTGTTTTATTAAGTGTTACCTTCAAGTGAGTTTTATCTTTGGTCTTGCGATGTCCAAATCCAAGAGCTCCAGAATACCACACTTGCGAAATGTCTTCGAATTCTCGAGCAGAATCATCTACCAGTCGAAACCCAGAAATATTTGTTCCACCATATTGAAATTCTTCCAAATCAATGGTGTGTAAATCCTGAAGAATGAAACGTATATTATCAAAGTTTCATAAAATTCTATGTTTCATGCTGAAATTACTTTAACTGAATAATACGAATACTTCAAAGATTAAAATAACTTAATGTCAAAACTCATTGGTGTGTAAGTCCTAAATATTGAAGAAATCGGTCCAAATATTTTTTCTTGGTACTGAAAACTTTTCAAAGTAGTGGTATGCGAACCACGAAGAAAAAAAAATCATTTGTCAAAATCTTCGAATCGCCCCCATTTTGAAATTGTTCTAAGAGAGTAGTGTTGATAACTCGAAGCATGAAACCAAAAAATATAAAAACAAAATTTTTGGTTCCTCCAATATTCAAATATTTTCAAGTCAATATTAGAGTTTTTAATTTTACTTATAAAACAAAATGTTGTCAGCTGTTATAAGACACAAGAAGATAAAGGCCGAAAGAAACAAAAATCGCCATAAAACTCTATACATGGCCCTAAAATATATAACAGTATTTTTGCCAAAAAACAAAAACAACAGATGTTTTAATATTCGGCCTAATCGGTATTACCATATGTATGAAATTCAAGTCCATATCTTCGATGAAGACATCTTTTATGCGTAGCCACAAATTTATATTTTTTTTAAAGAAAAAAATAATTATTATTCATTCGTGCGATGTCGTTTCGGGTTGGGCTTAATAATATGTTAGCGCTCGCGAATCATAAACAAAAACAGGGAAGTACATAATGTGTATTTACGAACTTAGTTTACATATTACAGGAATATTTAGATTATCTTATCTCTCTCGGGGTATACAAGCAAAAAAATAATAATAATAACAAATTAGTTTAAGTCAAAAATTCTGTCTTGGAGGTCTCTGTTGTGCCCCGGGTACAAGATTTGTTTGTTTAAAGTTACACAATGGGCTATTATGCTCTGCCCAACACGGGTATCGAAACCCGGTTTCTTGCGCTGTAAGTCTGCAGTCATACCGCTGTGCCACTGGGGGAAAACAGAGAGGTACAAGGAAAGAAGGTTGAAACCTTAGTGGATTATCTGTTTTTGGAAGGTATACTCAGAACATAAACTTTGATGGGAGATATCAGTGTGCCCGAAGATGATAGCTGATGTGTTTCAAGCATAAAGCTACACAGTGGGCTATTTGTGCTCTGGCCTCTACAAATATTGAATTTCGATTTGTAGCGCTGAGCCACTATGTTCGTGTGTGGGGGGGGGGGGGTACGAAAATGTTAGAAAATTAGACAGAATGTGAATACATAACTTAATTTCATATAATAACATCACCTGTAACCCAGCAATATTTTTTGCAAATCTTTAGTAAGTAAAATGTTAGCTACGACTGGTTTTGACTTTACTTACCAACGATGTGATAAAGTAATTGTAGTATTCTGACATCATGTCCACTTCTTTGGCCTAACGTCGAACATAAATAAAAAATAAGACAACCGTTAATCTGTAACTTGTTATAATTTTAAAAGTAATGAATTTAAAAAGAAAAAAAATCCAGTACATATGTAGTAAAAGTTTCGGTAAGAACCGTTAACAATTTTACTGATGATCCTGACATCCTTATTTTTAAACAGTTCAGAATTGATAGCAGACAAGTTATTCTGCGATAAACAGAAAAAAAAACAAAAACATTCCTTGCTATTTTTTACTAGATGGATATTGTGTTTATCATCCAATGATTTTTTAGAAGGATGTTACTTTGTCGTCACAATATAATTTTAGCCCCCGTTAGGGAGAGCATCAATATTAAACCAAGTTTGGTTCATCTTCAGACTGTTGGTTAAACAAAGTAAAAGGATTTTTAGTTGATGATACTTCAATGGTTTCTTGAATGACAAGCCACAGGTATTATTCGTTTCTTGAATGACAGGCCACAGGTATTATTCGTTTATTGAATGATAGGACACAGGTATTATTGATTTCTTGAATGATAAGATACAGGTATTATTGATTTCTTGAATAATAGGCCACAGGTATTATTCGTTTCTTGAATGATAGGCCACAGGTATTATTGTTTTCTTGAATGATAGAATACAGGTATTATTGGTTTCTTGAATGATAGGCCACAGGTATTATTATTATTTTCTTGAATGATAGGCCACAGGTATTATTCATTTCTTGAATAATAAGCCACAGGTATTATTCGTTTCTTGAATGATAGGACACAGGAATTATTGGTTTCTTGAATGATAGATCACAGGTATTATTCGTTTCTTGAATGATAGGACACAGGAACTATTGGTTTCTTGAATGATAGGACACAGGAACTATTGGTTTTTGAATGATAGATCGCAGGTATTATTCGTTTCTTGAATGATAGGACACAGGAACTATTGGTTTTTTGAATGATAGATCACAGGTATTATTCGTTTCTTGAATGATAGGACACAGGAATTATTGGTTTTTTGAATGATAGATCACAGGTATTATTCGTTTCTTGAATGATAGGACACAGGAACTATTGGTTTCTTGAAAGATAGATCACAGGTATTATTCGTTTCTAGTTTCATTACTAGTCTTGGAATCTAGGACAAACTAAGGACCTAAGTAACACAAAACAATTAATTTTTAATAAATTATGCAAATTATTTTATTAGTATGTGGATATCAATTAGCTCGGACTCAGATTATCTAAAAACACAATATTATAAATATTATGAGAAGACAAAAAAGTCTCACTTAGTTCTACACCAAGAATGAACACTTCTTTCAACAACAACAAAAAAAAAAAAAAAAAAAAAGGAAGAGAGCAGCTCTTCTGGAAGTTCTTTCGTTTTTTTCATTTAGATTTTTTTACTTATTCATTTTATTAAGTTGAGCATGTTTTTAGTTTAGGAAACAAGATAAACCCAGGTTTTATTTCAGGTTTACGTAGATCAGTGATGAGAAATTAATTGACATCGAGTTATTTGTTACACGCCAACAACTTTCGATGTCGTTATTACAATTCTTGTCAAAATTCACTAAAATCCTTGTCTTGACAAGGTAACACATACATCAGTGTTCTATTCCAGGACCTGGCACATGGTCAAAATGTCTGCATTGTACAAGTCAGCCAGATAGATAGATAGAAACAACACAACTATACAAGTCAGACAGATAGAAACAACGCTACTATACAAGTCAGACGTATACAACGCTACTACAGCAACTCAAGACGAGATATTTTAGAAAACAACAATAACGAAATGTGCGCCATTTTCGAGCTAGCTCCCGGAAACCACACAGAACGAGCATTTTGGGCGGGGGGTGATTCGAACTCACAACCTAACCACCAAACCATGCTACTCAAACTTCAATAATTTAGAACTTATCACTGCGACAATAATAAACTTCAATAATTTAGAACTTATCACTGCGACACAACGTAAACTTCAATAATTTAGAACTTATCACTACGACACAACGTAAACTTCAA